TACACAAATAATCAAACAGAAATATCAATTATCAGGGTGGGTTGGTAAGAACATTGGTAAACTCTAAATAATAAGAGTGGATTTTAAGGATGGACAAGGAGTTCATAAAGGTGAATGGAAGGCCAGGAAATTAGCTTTAGATTGGGAAGGAGAAATACTTCAAGGCAGGGTAGCCCTGCCCATTATAGCTACATCCTTGATTATGAATACCATTCATAAAAAAAGGTGCTATGATATGTCATGGCATGCAATACATCAATGGTCAGCAAATACATGCTCATTAGCAAATCTATATCAATACATCAATTGATCACTATTAAATCAATCATCACTTTCATAAATCAGTTTTGTTATTAATTTGGTATCAACATTCTTGGTAATGTATTCTTTGTATTTCATGGCTAACAACACACATCTTAAAAGAAAAAGCAGGAACCAAATCGTGATAAATAAATAAAAATTAATACATTCATATTTTTCAAATGCCAGTAAAAGTTAATATTATCAGTATTAAGAAAATGATGCAATATTTTTTCAAAAAATATACTTGATGCAAGAACAAGGTAAATTTGGTACAGTAATGTGCAATGTTCTTTATATGACAATTTCTAATATACTAACGACACACATAAAACCTTACAAAAAAAAAGCAGTCAAACTACATCAGGAGAAAATAAGTAAAAATAAAACTAATACATTCATAATTTTTAAATGTCAATAAAAAAGTTATTCTGTGTAAATAAAAGAGCATTATGTTGTTGATGTACTGCCTAATATTATTATTATTTACTGTAGTCACTTCTACAGTAACAAACTCACCACCTGAAGGTAAAAAGTCGCCACCTACTAACTGTTAGAAAAATTGTTTAGGAGGTGACTTGCCAGTACTGTAAAAGTGTGGAGGGGTGAGTTTGCAAGGAGTGAATTGACTAGTTTTGCCTCAATACATGTCAATGTAATACCTACAGTATCTATAACATTTAGAGATACATGTTTACATAGCACTGTAAAATGTGAAAAAATCTAGTGGGATTTTTCAGCCCTATAATGAATGACCAGTATAGTTTGAACAAAACAATTTGACAAATCCTGTATTTTACATCAAGAATTTGATACAATACCGCAAATGCTTGAATAAGCACCACAGCGCTAATAAAATATTTGATGGCTTCAGGGCAGTGTTTATCCGAAAGCGGCAAAGAGCGGCGCTTATCAAAAAAAAAAAATATTTGTGTGTGGCGCTTTTCATGGCCGTTCCCATATTACCTATTTCACATATTCCCGTAGTTCAGTAGGCCAGATCATAGGTCCTACTTCATTGTAAATAAACATTTATAAAGAAATACATGTCTTCATTGTGTCTACTTATTAATTTTAACACTGTATACATTTTATTTAAAACCTTGTTTCTCAAAGTGTTTCATTACACACAGGGTAATATATTCTCGATTAAGCACTGCAGCCCTTATTTGAGAGCGGCGCTTGGTGAAAAAAATCGGGTTTGGTGCGGCGCTTATTCGAGAGCGGTGCTTATTGAGCATTTACGGTACTTGAATTTAGAGTTTCTATGTGGTTCTTTTTAATTTTCAGGGGTTTGTATCTCCATGTTTACATAATAAAAATGTAAAAAGGTCTTAATGTCTACCCAAAGATAACAATAAGCTACTGTAGCGATAATATATCAAAGAAAATTTCAGATAACAATATATCAAAGAAAATTTCAGATAACAATACAGTACTTCCTCCTCTAATACAAACTGATCTGTGTATTAAAAAATATATGACATATGCCAATTAGAACAGATCACCACAACCACCCATGTCTGAAACTGGATGTACAAATATGGTAAATTCGCTCACATGATCTGTGATGTCATACCTGACCATCTGTATGCTGCTATCATCTTATTGGCTGATGCCACATGTCAAAAATCATAACCATATTTATAAACTATGCGTCATCTGTATTATAATTTTGAAGTTGCCTATATTAACTTGGTTGCATATGGAATTCATGGGAACAATGTAATTAAGGTAACAAGCCATATTATCCTTACTACAGAGTCAGACCCCACAACACGTAAAGTTCTGTACACGGCCTTGTACAGTAATATGCTTTGTGGTACATTATCCTATCTACACTGAAGCAAAACCAAGATTTTGAAATAATATTACAATATAGTACTGCATGTGGGTTGGATGATTGATTGCTAATTGCCTGCATGCTGCCTAAACAGCCTTCACAGAAAATCGGACACAGTTCAGCCAGTACTGCTCCTATCATGGTCAAATTTCAGACAGTATACACAATTTCTGAATCTAATGTTATTATTTAAATCATAAAATGTTTTAAACCAAAATCCGACCATAATGAAAAAAGACAGTAGCTGTACGTCTGTGGATTTACTTTACTTTTTTTCACGAATTTCGCGAGCGTAAACCGTTACTTGGCAATCGGGAGAATACTAGCCAGAAAGATGCATCAATATTTTATTAGTTCTCAAAAAACAAAGATGGTAATTTTGGTCATTTTCAATACACATTATGTATTGAAAATGACATGGTGTATTGGTGTTTATGCTGGCCTAAATAAATATAAGAATACAATTCTTTCTAGCCTATTCTATTTATTTTATGATCGTGTGGCGTACAACAGCAATGTTTACTCACATTCCTAGCTATCCAGGGGCTATTCTACAGCTTACAGCTGATGTATTTCAATCTAGGCTCAGAGAGTAGTAAATCTCTATTTTATAGGGCCTCCGAATCGAGCGATGAATATTTAGTTGACAGTTAGAA